AAATAGTGTATTTCAACATGTACAGAATATGTATTTAGTATTTTACGTTATTGGCTAAGAAACGAAAATATCAATCAATCAATCAAGCAGCATGACATCAGTCACGATGCTTCATTCCGCAAGACGAATTACACACGTATAAAAATGGATGGGTAAAATATCATACATTAAGGGGGCAAGACGAATAAATAAATGCTAGATAAATCATCTACGGGGAACAAGTTTCCACGCATTCCTAGATGCAGGCAAATTGCAGATGTACTAAGTATTAATAACTCTCACAATCAGAGTCGCTACCAGAAACTAGCAATTAAACATGAACAAGTATGTTTAAAAAAGGGGGCATGTATCATGAATATTTGGTGTTCGTAGAATCAGTTTCACGCGAAAAGTAGTCCTTATCTATGTACAGAACACAATTCGCTTTAACTCGACAACGTTAAACTACTCACAGTTTTTCATTGAGACGATTAAAACAATGAAAAATACTTAATCCTACCGTGTCGTCAATTGTCTTTTTTTTTTCTTACATTGAATCAGGATCTGTATTTTAGAGACGAACACAAGGGAATGTCTAAAGCAAACTGAAAGACGTACACGTGGAAGCCGAGAGTACCAAGTACCAAGGAATCCATAACATAAATTTGATACGTATTATAATCCGTACAGTCGATGAAACCGTTACGGGTGATACCAGGTAATAAATTGGAAACAAGTGCGATATTTCGGAAAAAATGATTTGTACATTTGACGATTTAATTTATGGAGTCATCGTATCGGTTTCGTCAATTGTACTGGCAAACGAATAAGATTAACAAATAAAAAACCACCGAAAATGTGTACGACATAAGTTTCCCCCATGCAGTTCTTGATACGCTGACAGGCGACACACAGACGGTTTTCTGAGAACAAAAAATGTATAAAGTTTCTCTAAATAAGTCACTATCAATTTCAGTAGTACGTATTTGTCGTCTTATCGAAGTAAAACGTGTCACGTAAAATCGTCGATAACTTAAACTAACGGGTACATATTATAATACAGTATACATATATTCAATGTCTAAAGACTGTGCTTCCTCGATTTCAGTGAAAGCATTGGGAATATGAAGACTACATGTAGCAATATTCGTAATGTTATCATACAACGAGATTGCGAGTAATTTGAGGTCGTCAAGTTAAGCAATACTTCACACTGGAAGAATATATGTACAGACTCCTGAAAACGATAATTGTTTCATCAGTAATTTGAAAAAGTCATGATGAGTACATTTAGGGGAGTTCAATTAATTAATAGAATTTACAATCAGACTTTTATCAGCTGCTCTCACAATCAGTAGATGTTTGACTTTTATTAAAAAGATGTGCAGTAATATTTGATTCAAGTGAATGATGTCAGTTTCTCATAAGACCTAATGTAAAAATCTAATAACTTTTCTTATAGATACTGCCTACAGTCTTTTTAAAAGATCCATCAAGCAGTGTTCCGAATATTAAAATCTGATTGTTAATTCTATTATCAATAGAGCTCCCTTAAATATTAGAAAAATATAGAAACAAGATATGAAGTTGAATTTAGTTTTAATTTGACTTCATTTTTAAATTATCCCTGCTCTTTCGTTATAAATATAGTGTACAGCTACTAGTGGTAGTAAATTTTAAGGCGTGATCTTTAGAAGCCAACATATGGCAAAAATCAAGAACAAAAAATTTTTTTAAATCTACTGGATGTGATATAAAAATGTTAAACTGTGTTACACATTATATGCATACATGAGTCTTTTAGCACCCTACAGAAAATTGTGTTATTTGGTCCAATATCAAATAAGTAATTCTATTTCCAAAAAAGGTTTGATCAATCCTCGGATCCAGTTTTCTTGTTCCTTGCTTTATTTTGGCTTCCGGGATCAGCCCTTAAATCATCTTCCCAACAGTAGCTGTCCCAGCAGATCTATTGAAGGTAGATTCGCAACAGATCATGAATAGATATATGAAATCATGGGACCCTGTCTCGCGGCTTTAGTGTTCAGCCATACCTTGCGTTCAGTTCTGAAGGCCAAGAGGATGGGAACGTTGATGACTGTTCGTCGTGTTCGAGGTCGAGGTCGAGGTCGTGGTCGTGGTCGAGGTCGCGATCAAGGCTGTGTTCGATATGGGAATGGGTATGCGGCGAGGTGGCTGTGGCTGGAGTTGGGGCTGGGATTCGTATGGCGCGTTCTGCTGCGGCGAGATAGTGGGACGCCGGTGGGTAAGATTCGCGGCGGTGGCCACCGGCGCCTCGTTCCCCGGCTGGGTGCTGTTTGCCTGGCCGGTGTTACTGCTGTTCATCGGCAACAGCATTTGGCCGTCGCCGTGTGCCGACGATACACCGTAGCTTCGGAGCCGGTATTGCCGTGGCTGCATCGAGGGACACCGGCCTCTGGCAATAGTTGTCCTTCGTTGCTGCCCGCCCGTGGTACTGCATATATTAATCCCAGTCTTTCATCAGTATTTCCCAACTAATTTCCTGCATCTCTCTCTCTTTCGACTGCGCCCTTGGTCCTGGTACACTTTTCTCACGTCACGACTCTTTTCTTTTTTCAAATAGTCGTATGCGCCTTTGCACTTCTCGTTTAACCGGTCCGAATTCGTATTTGTCGTCGCAGAAGTTCTTATATATTTTTATTCAATAACATCGAAATTAAATACACATATTTTCTGTCACAGCCTCATGCGGTTTCTATCAGATTTCCAGTAAAAAGGCCAGAATATGATACATTTATAAACGTGCAGAATTTCTGCGTCGATTTAATTGAAATTTTGAATGGAACGAGTTTTCTTTTTCACACGTAATACCACCGGTTATAGTCGGTGTATTCGCAGAATTTTTACCGTGCCATAGGTGTGACAAAGTATGTGACGGATCAACGCCAGTGAAAATTGTCGTATACAAAAGCGAGAAGATGTCATGCTCTTTCGTCCAAAAAAAAAGCAAATGCATTGAAAAAGTAAAATGATATTTATTATACACATGTGCAGGTGTACACACGGACATATAAGATTGTTACAGCGTACAATAACATATCATGCACTTTTTTGTATATTTTATTTCGTTACTTCAACGAGAAAATTCATCTGAACGGGCTAGGAAGCTTAAACAGTCTAAAAGGAGTTGTACTGTAAAGTGAACGTACAAAAGATTTACCACCAAACACAAACTGCATGTTGCAATGTTTAAAAGATAAATGCATAAAAATTGGGTGGAGCGAGGGAAGAGACAGATGAATTTCCTATTTTGAGTAACAGACGAAAACGAAGGCGATGTATTTTCTTACCTCGAACTGTGACTCATGAGGACTATATTTCTGTAACAGCATATAATGGATCCTGATTGTTGGGAAGCGAGTGATGAAGTGTCGACGTTGATTCACACACAACACAACAAGCGGCTCAAGCAATTTTGCTGTATTCATTATGTAACCAAATGCTTTACCATCGTAACGATAGAATTTTCAGATCTGAATAAACTAAGCACCGTTGTTGTTGTTCGTAATAATAGGAATTTCAGCACCAATTAAAAATCGGTATCATATACAGAAGTATTTAAAATGAATCATATTTGTTAATACAAAATTTATATTCTCTTTCATACAATTAATGATATATTAATTGAAACGTCTTTCTATAAATATACTTGATATATGCACGTGGGATAAATGTAATTTCTAATTATCAATTTCACTTCCTCAAATTGCCCAAGCAACGTTCTGTTCATATATAACAATCTTTATATATTCNAGTCAATGAAAGCCAATAACATTTTTCTCGTACAAAGGCCTTAGAAGAAGTCGATTTCCACGTTTTGCTTAATTTGAAAATGTCTGTGTTCCTTGTGTTTTAAAAATGTAATTAAAATGTAAAACAATATTAATGTAGGATTGAATCGTAGTTCATAGAAAATCTATTAGCATCTAATCAAAGCTAATCGAACACTGAAAAAACTGAGGTATATTATTTGTTACTGTTTTGGGGTCTTCCCTATAGGAGAAGCTGACACGATAAAAGACGGGTCGAGATCGACTGTCTCAAGCTGTATTTTAATAAATTGAACGAGTCTCTCGTTAATTCGTCTACACACGTATTAGCTTACGTTACGATTGTATTCGATTAGACAAATCACCGTTCGACAAGGGTATAACGTAACATGGTTCCGGTGGTAAAAAATGTAATTGCTGATAAATATTCCGTTTATGTGTATAGCAAATTATATATTTCTCTCGAGTACAGCTTGTAATGCGAAGCGCTACTCGGAAGAATCTTACGCATATGCGCTGATGCAGTTGCACTATTTTAAAGTAGATTGAATTATTGTTAAGAGAGAAAGCTATTCGGTACAGAGGCAAATCCGTGATGTTTCGAGGGTAGGGAAGAGAGAAAATATTGATAATGCTAGAAGTGAATGTATATAATAAAGAAGATAGATT